GAATGAAATACAGCGAAATAACCGTAGTAAGAGTAAAAACAAAAATAAAGCCCACACTCACAAATATCTCAAAAAAGGCTGAACCACCCAGCAAAATCATCAAGCAAAGAAATAGATATTAACCATTAGCCCAACTTTCCCAGTAAACATAGAAATATACACCACCTATGGGTACAAGTCTATATGTGTATAAGCAATTATAAATATAAATTCATCTGTTATTATTATTTCTTTTTCATTTCACTGCAAAAAAGCAGTTCATCATCATTATCACAGTGCAAGCCCAGGTGCACACACACAGAGAGTCTCCAAGAGCACAAACACACACAATGGAGTAGCAATAATAATAATTATAGGATAAACACAGAGAGAGCAAAAAAGATAATCCCAACAGGTAAAAGATTAGTTAGACTGTAGTGTGGATGTATGCAAAAAAGAAGAAAAAGAGAACAAAGGATTACCTGAGTCACACCACCACAATCAGCACTACAATCAGCACACAAGAATACAGGCCAGTGTAACCACAATCAGTAGTGGCACACGAACCCACACAGAACTGCTGATACTGCTGCTGCTGTCTGCATCACCCTTCTTGTTGTTTGTGAGTTCAGGAGGAAGTGTTGTGGTTGTTGTTGTGGTGGTGGTGGTTGTTTCTGTATTTCCTCCAACTTCTTCTTGGTTATTTGTTGATTCATTCCCTTCAGAAGTATTTCCATTCTCAGTCGATGCAGCATTATCGCCAACGGCACTTCCTGTAGCCGAATTGGTAGGAGAGTCAGAAGAAGTTTCTTCTGCTGCTTCACCTCCTTGGGTAGATGTAGTTTCTCCTGTTGGACTGCTGCCGCTGTTTCCAGTTTGGCCGTCAGCAGCAGCCACACTACTCCCATCAACAGGAGAAGCAGGAGTTGGACTGTCCTGTGTAGTAGAAGAAGAACCACTAACATCACCAGCTCCTGAACCTTTTTCTCCTGTAGTACGATGACCTGAGTCCACAGAATCTTCAGCTTCACCTTCTACGACCGGAATAACAGCACCATGCACACCAACTTCACCTTGCAGACCAGCAGGACGACCGGCTTCTTCGCCTTGACCGTTACTATCATTTTCAGAAGTATTCTGCTCAAGGTGAACTTCGGGGTTTTTCGGAGGAGGACCAGTTACTTTTTTCTCAGGAACAACCTCTTTTGGTACTTCAGGTACTTTAGCAGGAGGAGCTTCATGCTTTTCAGGACATGTCTGAAGATTAGCAGAAGCTTCAGGAGCATCAGTGCACAGAGGAGTACCTTTAGGGCTTTGTGTTGCTTGTAGTTGTCCTGTAGGAGGACAAGCACCTTCAGGAGTTTGAGTTTGACCTTCAAGGCACTTTGTCTCACTCTCCGTATCAGGGACTTGGTCGGAAAGATCGGCGGCAGGCACTTCCTCAGCGAGGACGTGCACACACGCACATGAGAGCAGGAGAGCGAGGATACACAGCACGTAGCGCATCATTACCATCATTGATCTTCCTTTTCCTGTTGTTTTTGTTGTCTTCCGTGTCACTTGAGTTCACAGACCTATGCAAGGAGTATGGAAAATAGGGGAAAAGAAGAGAGAAGGAGAGATAGATACAGAGAGAGTGGATGCAGGGCACAAATACTCATAGTGAGATAGAGAGAGAAGCGGCAACTGCACAAAAAAGCAACAAAAAGGAATAGCCCACTTGCATGATAATATGTATCCATTAATAGAAAAAGGAAAAGAAAACAACACTCACAAATATCTCAAAAAAGGATGAACCACCCCAGCAAAATCATCAAGCAAAGAAAAAGATATTAACCATTAGCCCAATTTACCAGTAAATACAGAAATATACACCAACTATGGGTGTAAGTCTATATATGTTGTATACGCAAACATAAATATAAATTCACCTGCTATTATTATTTCCTTTTTTTCTCACTGCAAAAAGCAGTTCATCATTATCATCACAGTGCAAGCCCAGGTGCACACAATGGAGTAGCAATAATAATTAATATAGCATAAACACACAGAGAGAGAGCAAAAAACACACAAAACACACATTAACATTAAGAAACAAAAAAGAAAGATAATCCCAACAGGTGAAAGATTAGTTAGACTGTAGGGAGTCATGCAAAAAAGGAAAAAAAGAAAACAAAGGATGACCTGAGTCACATCACACCACCATTACAATCAGCACACAAGAATACAGGCCAGTGTAACCACAATCAGTAGTGGTACACGCACCCACACAGAACTGCTGATACTGCTGCTGCTGTCTGCATCACCCTTCACATTTGGCATTATGGTGTTATTGCTGATTTCAGGGACAGTAGGAATTATATTGGTAGTATTGGTGGTCGTAGTAGTAGTTGTTGATTCCTCATCACTTGGGTTATTGGATGGTTCACTCGCTGCAGGTGTACTGCCACCCCCATTGTTTGCAGTACCAGAACCATTGGCAGTCTCTGTGTCTGAAGATTCGGGAGAAGGAGAAGTGGGTTGTGCTGTTGCTGTACTCTCCGCGTTGACTGCACCTTCACCTGCTGGAGTGTTGACGTTGGCTCCAGTTTGACCTCCAGATGGAGACGAACCGTTACTCCCTTCCCCAGCAGCACCAGCAGCAATAGATGAAGGAGGTTCAGCAATAGGAGGATGAGCAGAGCCATCATTACCACCACCAGCAGGAGAAGCGTTAGAAGGACGCTGATTAGCACAGTATTGAGGATTATTAAGAGGAGCATTAAGAGTATTTCTAGCATATTCTTCATCAGGAGGAGGACAATCACCATCACCAGAGTTAGAAGATGCAGAAGAAGAACTTACGGAGTTTTCAGCTTCAGCAGCCGCCACGCAAACAGAGGCAACACTCATAATTAGAGCCAGAAAATACAATACACGTCGCACCTGCATCTTGACAAAGAAATATTCTTTTAGTTCTCGAGGGAAGTTAAACTGGACGAAGGAAAAAAAGAAATCGTATAGGAAAAAACAACGAAATGGACAAACACAAACAGAGGAAGAAAAAAAAAAGAAAAATAAACAGAAGTCATAAGAAACACAAACAAATCAACATAATAAAGAAAACTTTTATAGTGGTAACTTGGATAATTAAAAAGCATGACCAACTTACCAGTAAACACAGAAACCACGACGAACACCACTCATGCCTGAGATAATATGCAATTAAGAATATAAATGTCTCATTTATTAGTTTTATTAATTCCTAGAGCAAATCAGCATCAGTGGAGCAGGGCACAAAACACACAATCACCCCAGCAAACAAAAAGCAAACAAAAAGATATTAACCATTAGCCCAATTTACCAAGTAAACACAGAAATATACACCAAATATGGGTGTAAGTCTATATGTGTATAAACGCAATTATAAATATAAATTCATCTGTTATTATTATTTCTTTTCACTGCAAAAAGCAGTTCATCATTATCATCACAGTACAAGCCCAGGCACACACACAGAGAGAGTCTC